CTGTGTGAAGCACTTGTGACATTTTTAAAAGAGGTGATACAGCTTTATATAGACATTTTTTTTTTTAAAAACAGCCTGCTACTACATGCTGCTAAAACTGGCCATTTGCAGTTCGGAACTAAAAATTACCTCTGACTGAATATCATGCCTTTTAAGCCTCGATCTGTTGAATTAATTCTGTAGTGTTAATCATTGACCAATGTTCACTTTCCTGAAGGCACTCATCAGTCACTCTCCATCAATTTATCAAAATGAGCATTTGTGAACCACAGTTGCAATTGATGCAGGATATTCAGCTTCAAACAACATCATAGGAAAATCCCATTCTGGTTTCAGGAAGCATACAATATTCAGTAGGCATTACTGGATGGCAATTAGAAGTCGTAACCCAATCAGGAATTCAACTCATGAAATGCCAGGGGATTCTAATCTGTGTGGCTTAGTGCTGCACAAACTGCTAAACTCCATAGAATTAAGCAATAAGGATATCTGTCACTTTAACAACAGAGAGCAATGACAGGCTGTGACTGACACTGGACAGTGACTTGTATTTGCAATGTTAAAACAGTAGCATTTACAGAATCTTTAAAACTGTAAAAAAGATTAATGCTGCTGATTCATACATCAAAACTGAGAGTTGCACACTTATGTAGACAAGAGGCACTTGTTTCAGTCTATAAATAGCTTTATGTTCAAGTTTCATATTTCTACAAAAGAGCCTGATAGGATTTTATTAAAAGAACAGAAACCCAGGCCAGTCCATCTGTTTTAATCAGTTTAGGGCCACTGGCGTGTATTGATTACGCATGTATCTCCATGGTACTGTGGCAATCAATCTGACTCAGAGCCACTCCATCACTGCTTAACTGCAGCACATTCCAAATTCATCTTTCCTAATTCTTAGTCACCAATTTAAGAACCCACTTTTAAAATGTGTTGACATTGTTTCCCATGTAAAAATTGGCACATTGATGATGGGGATAGGAAAATGTAGGAATAAAGCAAAGAACTGATAGTTGACAAATAAGTTTCTGGAAAAAATGTGCAGACACATTGGTACTTCATTTAAATTATATTTTCAATTTTGATTAAACAGAGATGGAGCAAGGGGCTTGCTGGAAATAGCTGTGTAAGAATGCACTTTATTCAATAATGGGACGTGGGTGTTACTGGCTGGGCCTGCACTAATTGCCCATTCCTAGTTCCCCTAGTTAGATAGGAAGGGAGTTCCAAGATTTTGAACCAATGACACTGAAGGAATGGTGATATATTTCTGACCGATTTAATCTGATTGATCAGGAGGAAGAGCAAGAGTAGTAATGGAGGAGCATAGCTGCTTTAACTCAGTCAGAACTCCATGGTGAACCAGTGTTGCTTTAGAACTCAGGACTCAAATATTTCAGTTTGTGACCCCACTTGGGATCCTGACCCCTTCTTTGAGAAGCCCTGCATTATTGACAGGTGTGAATTGAGCATTTTTAGAGACATTATAGATTTCCTTCGGTGGTGTGGTTCACCAAAGTAGGGTGGGGTGGGGGGGTTGCGAGTGGGTGGTGGTGGTGGTGGTTTGTTAATGGCTTAACGATTCAGCTTCCATTTGCAATCAGAAGTAATGCATGTTCCAACCCTGGCTGGTGCAGAGTTAGCTGAAATCAGACAAGTTCCAGTGAAATATTGTCGAAATAGGAGAAAGACATAACAGTGTTCATGGCAGCTATCTGACCACCCCTGGTGAAAGTGCATATTTCAACATCAGAGTCATTTTTTCAATGACGTTGGTTGAGGGATAAATATTAGCTCCAGTTTGCAGGAAATCTCTACTGTCTCTTCTTTAAATATTGCACATGACCTTGCATGTTAATCACTGACCAAAGCCACTTTGACGCTCCAACACCTCATCTGAAAGACAGCATCTCTAATATTGCAGCAGTACTGTTCTATATGCTATGGAATATTAGTATGTTAGTTTTTATTAACTCTTTTCTTGAAAGGACATGAATGCCAAGCTAAAACATGGACAGGTTCAACCTACATTACAGGCTCAAATCTCTGAAAAGGGAATCAAACCCACCCCTTCTGAGTCAAAGGCAGGATTGTTACTAATGAGCCAAAGCTTGAGGTGCTACCTTAAGTATCCAGCTACGTCGTTACATTTGAGGTTTTCTGTATAACTTTGTTTATTCATTCACAGCATGTCAGCGTCACTGCCCAGAGGGCCGTTGAGAGTCAACCACATTGCTGTGGGTCTAGAATCACATGTAGGCCAAACCAGGTAAGGATGGCAGTTCCTTTCCCTAAAGGATATTAGTGAACCACATGGGTTTTTCCAACAATCAACAATGATTCACGATCATCATTAGACTCTTAATTCCAGACATTTATTGAATTCAAATTCCACCATCTGTGATGGCGGGATTCGAATCCAGGTCTCCAAAATGTTATTCAGGTCTCTGGATTAACAATTCAGCAATAATACCACTAGGCCATCACCTCCCCTAAGATTATTAAGGTCTGTCCTCAACAAAGTATTTAGATTTCAAACTTCATATCGGGTTTAGTCAAGATCCGAGACAGGATTAATTTTTGAAAACTGAGTAAAGCTGCTTTTTCAGTATGTATTTTGTACATATTTGGCATGTGTATAACTGTATTCTCCACTGATTTAGGAAACCTTTTTGAACTGTCTTCAGATACACAGTGGCATTCCATGTATATAAAGTGAAACCATTTGTCTGGTCTGCTCTTTGCAAGCTACTTGACTTGGGTGGGAGAGGGAAGATTTTAGTCAGTTTAGAATAAAGATTTACTTACTTGCTTTTTGCACGAAAAACATCTAAAGACAGATAGATTTACAGCATTTTATCACATCACTCAATCACCACCAAGCACCTTGTCTCCAATTTATTACTTCCAGCTATATTGACTGTTATGGTAGTCAAATATGGCAGCCATTCTGCACTCAGGAGGATCCCACAAACAGCACTGCGATGAGTAACACTGACCAGACAAAGAGCTTCTTGCTCCTCTTCAGTTTATGCAATGGAATCTTTAGCATTCACCTGAACCTTCAGACTATAGAACCTGCAGTAACTTATGGCAGATGACACAAAGATTGGTGGAGTTGCTGATAGTGCCAATAGTTGTGAAAAGATACACAGGACACAGATAGATTGGTGACTTGGGCACAGAAATGGCAGATGGAGCTTAAACCAGACAAATGCGAGGTGATGCATTTTGGAGGATCAATTTAGATGTGAATTATACTGTAAATGGCAGAACCCTAAGGAACATTAACATATAGACAGATCTGGGTGTGCAGGTCCACAGTTCCCTAAAAGTGGCAACACAGGTGGCCAAAGTGATTAAGAAGGCATGCTTGCCTTCAGCGGCCATGGCGTGGAGTACAACAGTTGGCAAACCACGTTGCAGCTATATAAAACTCTTGTTAGGTCACATTTGGAGTACTGTATGCAGTTTTGGTCACCACATTACCAGAAAGACATGGAAGCTTTGGCAAGAATGCAGAGAAGGTTCACCAGGATGTTGCCTGGTCTCAAGGGCATTGGCTATGAGGAAAGGTTAAAAAGACGAGGATTGTTTTCACGGGACAGACAGTGGCTGAGAGGAAACCTGACAGAGGTCTACAAAATTATGAGAGGCACGATAGGTTGGATAGTCAGAGATTTTTTCCCAGGGTTGAAGTTTCAATTACAAGGGGCACAGGTTCAAGGTGAGAGGGGGCAAGTTTAAGGGAGATGTGCAAGGGAAGTTTTTCATGTAGCGTGGTAGGAGCCTGGAATGCACTGCCAGAGGTGGTGGTGGAAGCAGGTACGTTGGTGACATGAACAGGGACAGAATATAGGGATATGGACTGAATAAGGGCAGAACGTTTGTTTTTTCAGTTTAGTTAGGGCACGATTATTGGCACAAGCTTGCAAGGCCGAAGGACCTGTTGCTGGCTGTATTTCTCTTTTGTTCTTATCCCTTCAGTACTACGCTGTAAACATGCTGAGCTAAATCAACTGTTAAGTCAACTTCATGGATCAGAGTCATGCTTGATATCCAAGTCTGTGCTGTGTTAACTAATTTCAACCAGGATGGCATTAAGGTTTGAGATGGCTAACTAACCCTTTCCCAGGAAGATAGAAACCTTCCAGAAACTAACTAGAAAACAGCAACTCCTACCAGAAGACACAGGCACAAGGAATAATTAAAAAAAAAACAATGCAATACCAGCCTTTATTTTTAAAGCAGAGCGAGATAAGTTCTTGTTAAGCAAGGCGGTGAAAAACTCAGGAGGTAGGAGGGAAGGCAGATTAAGCGAATAAGCACATGAATATGCAAGGAATGGAAAGATATGGACTAAGGGCAGGCAAAAGGGATTAATTTTGTTTGGCATCATGTTTGGCACAACATCATGGGCCAAAGTGCTCATTCCTGTGCTGTACAGTTCTTTGTTCTATGTATATTCCAATCAGATCAGCCATCATCTTACTGAATTGCAGACTCAAGGGGCTGAATGGTCTGTTCCTGATTCATATGTTCATTTTAATCTCAAAGCAGTTGCAGTGCAGAGATTTAAGTATTTATGATGAGAATGAATTAAATATTTTAGATAGAGACTATTTCCTCTGAAATGAGTCCAGACCAAGAAGCATAGCCAAAAAACTAGAGCCAGGTCAGTGTTGATATCAGGGAGCACTTCTACATTCAAATAACATGGAAATCTAGGAACACTCTCACCCCAAAAGTTGTTTCAAGTTAATTAAAAGTTTAAAAAGAGATTTTCAGGTAAAAGTAAAGGGTTATGATCTAAAGCAAATAGATGGTGTTGGGATACAGATCAGCAGTAATTAAGTAAATGGCAGACAGACTTGAGGGGCTGAATGATTTGTTCCTAGCAATGACTTCACAAAGAAAGGGGAAATGGGAAAACTGTCAACCACACAAGAAAATACTCCAAAAATTCAAACAAAAGCACAGAAATTCCAAAGACTTACCCCTTGGTTTCCTTCAAAGCGAATTCCAGGCTGGCAAGACAAATTACTCTAAGAGAGAATGGAAGCACAGTTAGGCATTTCAGTACTAGATACAGTCAGTTACATTACATGGCAGACATCAACTTCTGAAAAAGGTATTGCCACAGCGTATGGCAAAACTCAGCACCCAGAATACCAGCAGTTCCTAGTCAGTGCTATATTTGGTAGTGATTGAGATGTTATTTTAAGAATGGAGAGGCAGATGGGAAGTCAGGAGTACATTCAAAGAATGGTGCATTCCGATGCATAGGGCTGAAAGAGTTATGTCCCAATTGTCCCATTCACTTGATCTTTCCTCAATGCTGCATATTTTTCCTTTTCAAGAATTGATCCGTTTGCTTTTGAATGTTACTATTAAATTGGCTGCCACTGCACTTTCAGGCAGCACATTCCACATCACAACTTTCTTACCTTCCCCAATTCTGTAATTGGCTACCTTAAAATTTGAGTTGACAAGATGTAGAGCTGGATGAACACAGCAGGCCAAGCAGCATCAGAGGAGCAGGAAGGCTGACGTTTCGGGCCTAGACCCTTCTTCAGAAATGGGGGAGGGGAAGGAGATTCTGAAATAAGGAGGGTGGGGAGGGGGAAGAGGGGAGATGGATGGAAGGTGGATAAAGGAGCAGATAGGTGGAGAGGAGACGAACAGGTCAAGGAGGTGGGCCTACACTCACTTTTACTAGCTCCATCCCCGCTTCCTTGGCTTGTCCGTCTCCTCTCCACCTATCTGCTCCTTTATCCACCTTCCATCTGCCTCCTCCCCCCCGCCTTCTATTTATTTCAGAATCCCCTTCCCCTCCCCCACTTCTGAAGAAGGGTCCAGACCCGAAACGTCAGCTTTCTGCTCCTCTGATGCTGCTTGGCCTGCTGTGTTCATCCAGCTCTACACCTTGTTATCTCAGATTCTCCAGCATCAGCAGTTCCTACTATCTCTTAAAATTTGAGTCCTCTGGTTAGACATTCCAAACATTAGAAATAGTTTCTCCAGTTAACTACCAAAACTGCCTTGTTTTTCCACCTGACTAAAAATTGATCATCTTTCATAAGACAGAACAGGGCAGAGAAAATAAGTGACAAAAAGTAGCCACAAAACCATAACATACACTATATTGAAGGACTTTCCCCCTTGTGGAATGACTTAAGGTTAGAGTGAGCCAATACTGCTGCATCAATTCCAACATGTCTGAATGTAGCCGAGTTCTCCAAAACAGCTGAAAAAAAAGAGTGGAAGCTGCTGCAAATCCACTCCCCATGTTCAGTAACAAATATTACTCTTATTTGGAGAGCAGTACGCAACCAAAGTTGGACCAAGTTAAGGTGTGTAACAGGATGCATATGCAATCTGTACAGCAACAATAAGGAGGGACAATCAAAGGTTTGGTACATGACTCTTCTACCCCAGAATTAATCACAGACCATAGTCAAATCTTATCAGGATAAGTTCAACTGAAAACTAACTGCTTTGAATGACTGTGTTAGCAAGTAGACTAACTTTACAAATTTGAAGCTCCCCTAATGACTCAAAAATTAAAAATATTTAATAGCCAAGCTATGGACCATAAAAGATCTTGGTTCACTGCTTTGTTCCTACGCAGCCTAATGTAGACAAAATGCTGTACAAAACTTTATCACTGGCATTAATGCCTTGGGTTCAATAGGGTGGGAGCACTGTTTGAAATAGGAACATTAAATCAATTTTTACAGCAAAGACACGTGCCATTCTATCGAGCACAATAGTCTACAAGAGCTTCTGCCCACCTTACTTCACCTCACCAATTTCTTTCTCCCTCGTATACTTTGAGCAATCCCTTTGTTAGACCCCTTGCTGATTTTTCATTAGTTTTATTTTATTCTTTTATCAATTTAGGTTTAGAGCTGTGAACTGGGAACTATGAACAGAAGATGACTTTTTGGAGTGGAGGTAACATCTTGTATTAAAAAGAAAAACAGACCAAACAAGCTTTTGTTTATTCATAAGGCCACGCCTGGGAGTTAATTGCAGGTTAGCACCTGATTTAAAAGGCTCTGGAGATGCTTCATCATCCCAGTGATAAAGAAAACTCATGCAGCGTGCCTCAATAACCACTGCCCAGTGGCTCTGACCTCCATTATTATGAAATGCTTTGAAGGGTTAGTCATGGCTCACATCATCACTAGCCTCCCAGACTGCCTTTATCCCTTGCAAATTTGCCTACCATTGCAACAGGTCCATGGTAGATGCAATCTCCCTAAACCACATGCCTGGAACATCTGAGTAACAAGGACGTGGACATCTGGTTCCTATTTAAGGACTACAGCTCTGCCTTCAACACCATAATTCAAACCAAACTGATCTCCAAAGTCCAAAACCTAGGTCTCTGCTCCGCCCTCTGCAACCGGATCCTTGACTTCCTGACCCACAGATCACAATAAGTGCAAACACGCAACAACACCTCCTCCACCACAATCTCAACACCCTGCAAGGCTACGTACTCAGCCCCTTTACTATACTCCCTATACACTCATGACTATGGCCAAATTCCATTTTAATTCCATCTGCAAGTTTGCTGACAACATGACCATTGTAGGCCAGATCTCAAACAATGACGAGCCAGAATACAGGAAATAGAGAGTGCTTGATGGCATGGTGTAAAGATAGCGATCTCTTCCTCAATGTCAGCAAAGAGCTGATCACTGACTTCAGGAAGCAAGGTGGAGGGCATACCCCTGTCTACTTCAATGATCAACAGCGTCAATTTCCTTGGAGTGTTGATCTGTCCTGGTCCACCAACGTTGACACTATGGTCAAAAAGCACAGCAATATTCTACTTCCTTAGGAGGCTAAGGAAATTTGGCATATCCATTAAGACTCTTACCAATCTTTATGGATGCACCATAGAAAGTATTCTATCCAGATGGTATGGTACGGCTTGGTATGGCAACTGCTCTGCCCAAGACCATGAGAAACCAGAATTGTGAACACAGCCCGGTCCATCACGCAAGCCAACCTTCCATCCACTGACTCCATCTATACTTCTTGCTGCCTCAGGAAGGCAGCCATCATCATAGACCCCTCTCATCCAGGTTATAATCTCTTCCGTCAGGGAGAAGATACAAAAGCTTAAACACATGCACCAACAGATTCAAGAACAGCTTCTTCCTCGCTGTTATTAGACTTCTGAATGGACCTCTCAAGTTTTAAATTTAATGTTGATCTCACTCTTTGAGAGTCTTCTCTGCAGCTGTAACATCATATTCTTTGCTCTGTTTTATTACCCTAATACACTTTTATGGTATGACCTACTTCTACTGCACTCGAAGCAAAGCTTTTCATGGTACATAGGTACCTGCGACAATAATAAATCAAATCAAAAATCATCACCAGGGAAAAGCATGATATTTAAAGAGATAGCACAAGTTGGCTATTAGCAAGATCAATACCTGGAAATTAGTTTCAGCAAGTCTGGAAATAACCATATGCTCAAGCAGATGGCAGATGTTGAATCGTAACAGGGACCTTGTGGAAAAGACAGTTGATCTGTCAAGGAGGTGAGAGTTTGAACTGGGTTTTGGATGTGTTTTTTGTGAGGAGTCCGATGTTGATGCTACAGCATGAAGATTTGAAAGCTCCCTGGCTAATCTCCTGTGAGCAGCACTTAGTAGCTCAGAGAAAAGAAAGTTACAAGTCCTACTGTCTTTAGCTGAGTAAACTGTAAAAGGTGACCCTGAGCATCATCTTCAGAAAATCAAGAAAGAAACTATGGCTGTGGAACAATGAATCATGAAAATACTTAAGTAATCTGGCCAATTTTATCATTTTATTTCATGAGTTAACTGTTTGATTGTCTTTTGTCTGAACGGGGCTGAAAACAGGTCTTAGGATTAAAGCATAGACCAATTAGATTACTTTGATCTTTAGTTTTACTCTGAAATCAACATTGTTAGTAAATTGCTAGGTCTTTTGTTTAAAATACAAACCAGTGTCTGGAATTGATTAACCTAGAGTCTGGGATTGGTTATTCAAAACTGGTTAGGAACCACTGCAGTCAATTTTAATGGTCTTTGAAGGTTTTAATTTTACAGTGTTGCAAAGAGGTAGAAAGGCTGATTTGGTTTGGCTGACTGCCTCCATGTTGTAACGCCTTAAATACATATCTGCCGTTCATCTCAACCACGTTTTGTGGAAGAAGTTTTCATGTCCTTGACCACACTGCATAACAAAATTTCTCAACTGGTGACCAAATTAAAATCCTTCATTTTGGTCTCCCTAACAAGTGAAAAGCAGAAATGGAGTCAGGATTGAGAATGGGCACACAAGAAAGACAAGTCCAGAAATAAAATCAGTAGACCTCTACTCATCAATTTCAGATCAAATTCAGCAATAGATTGTGACTTCTGGGTTTTCTGTTTTTAAGCTATGCAGTATGATATGCACCCATGGGACCAGATCAGAAGTCCATTCTAAAGTATCAATGGAGAAACTGAACTTAGATGGAGTAGGAATTACCTAGAATGAACTCACAAAGAGCAAAGGCAATAACCAGATTTATTGATGCTTCCCTGGAATTACTGATAGGTACAGTCATGAGCAGGAGGCTCTTTAACAATATAAAGGGTAAAATGAAGGTGTGGTTAGAAACGTCAGAGGAGCTGAGCAAAAACATGGTGTCCAGCCTCAGATGCAGTGTTGGAAGCTTCTTAACGATCTGACTGAGTCAGGAAATTGACTACATTTGTTGAATCATGTACATGATATGATACAACCCTCCCTCTTGTCACTATGCCTTTCCAATATGATCTATACATCACTCCTCACACCCACTTAAGTTTCAAGAGCACCCATTTCTTAATGCTTTATCCACTTCCTCACCTTCAGTTTATCCAGTTACAACTCACCCCAGTTATTGTCACCATTGATAAATGCACAGTATTCATCGGTGAGTACCCAACTAAATTGGCTGGACTATTTTTCATCCCATATACAAGCATGGCATGGAATCCTCTCCTGGCCCTATTATACAGAATTTCAA